AATCATCAGTTGACTTTGACACTAAAATCATAGTTCATAATATTTAGAAAACTGTAGCATTACTATTAATAGAAACATGGATAAACATTGAATAGATGTAGCATAAATAGGCCATGAGAAGTGATAAAATAAAAGTTGAGGGATCATTAAAAGTGCTGGCTTGAGATTTTGATGGCTCCAATCTTGGTCTCCCTTTGAAGAAACTGATAAACCTCAGGCACTGAGAAGCAAATCAGCTGAGTTCAAAACACTAATGAAAGGGCATCATTGATTGGCTGAGGTGTGCCAAGCCCACTTAGGAGTGCTTGGATTGATGGAAATTGGCAGCTGTGTGATGTTGAAAACGTATCATTAATATGTAGAAACAGTGAGACCCTGTGAGAGGCAAATTGTTGATCAAAACATCATTAATTGGTGGCATCATTAACTGAGGGACCACTATATTGTTCATCTGTTTGCAGTTACAAACATAGCAGTGGTTCAGAATTTTGAGGTTATTTCTGACAAATTTAACGAGTGGAACATTTATAACTCAATATTTTTTCCAGAAAAGGAGAAATGGGGGATAAAATAACAACAGTAACAGCCTGCAGCATGTTGCAGTTGCAAGCAGTAACACTTCTAACTTGACTAGGATTCAGTCTTATGAATACAAGCACAAGAGACCATCATTCTCCTGCATGAGCTAGATTGAACTTTGCTGTTACATTATAAATTTACATTACATTACATTACATTACAGCAGGAGACTTGTAGTTTCATAATAAGAAAGTAGGCTGCATGAGCTTTAGAAATTTTAAGTTCTTATAGCATAACTGTTGAAAAGTTGGCAGATACAGCATTAAAATAATGTTCTCTCCAGTGGGGCAGTCAACACAACAATAACAATAATACTCAATAAGACAAAATAGATAACTATCCTGTCAACATTTGTTTATTTGTGCAGTTCTTGTTGTGACATGTTTAAACCTTTCCTTTAGGTCATCCTCAGGTAATACACAACTAACAGTTGTACGATAGTATATATTTTGTCATATTGATTGTTATTATTATTGTTGTGTTGACTGCCCAATTTGAAAGCGCATTAAGACACACAACGGGATGCACACTTTGAAAGCCAAAATAATGCATAATTCTGTCTAATTTTCTCTATTCAGGGCTTCAGAAATAAGAATTTAAATCTACCAACCATTTAAAAAAGTCTGTTGGCCCATATTCTCATATTGGGATTCACACGAGAATACTTCTGTGCTTGCTAGCAGTGTTTATATAGTTGCCTGTGGCAAGCAGAAAAATATTTCTGGAGCCCTGCTGCTGGTAAATAGCATGTCACTAGAGCACACAACATAGTTAGTGAGTTTGTATAGATAAACGGCTTGTTACACATGAAGGGGTTTCTGTTTGTCTCTACTGTGTTATACCATGAAGTTAGTTTTGAAGTTTTTGTAGTTAAGCAGTTGAGGTACAGAGGGCAATTTGTTCACCCTCAGTGAAAGTGTGCAGTAACTGCAACTAACAGAGAATCATAGATCTTGAGACATATTTGATGGCCTTGAAATAATATTTAAATGTTCAGAAGGTAAAACTGCATAGAAAAGTTTGAATCAGACTTTTGAACAAGCGTTGTGGTCTGTGTCCATGAGTTAGGCTCGTTGGCGGTACACATTGGGTCAGGTGTAACATTTCTGGGAGACCATAAATAGTAGAGCAGAGCTGACCTTGAGTTCTCACTTTTGAAACTGATGTTTTTGCTTCTTTAATGAATTTTTCAGAATGGTGTTTTAAGAATTTCTTTTTTAATTTATATGTTTTTGCTGTTCTTACTTCTCTTTATACTTCACTTTTTATGAGTGAGGCCTTCAAAATGAATATTTAAATGAAAATGATAAAGCAGCTGTACAAAATACAAGGGTTGGAACTTTAATTGTGACAACTATTTATTTACAACTGATACAAAATAGATGCATGTTTCAAAGTTTTACTGTCTTTCAATGTCGTCATCAGCATTGTGTACAACCCATTGCCAGCGATGTGGAAGTCGTAAGATACCTTTAGTAGTGCCTGTTGTGTTGAGAGTTCGAATGGAGTGGTCTGCTGCTTGAAGAATCTCTGGAACAGTTCTGAAGCGAATGCCATGAAGTGGTTCCTTCATCTTAGGAATCAAGTAGAAGTCACAAGGGCTTAAGTCTGGGGAGTATAGTGGATGGTACAGCATTCCCAGCCCCATCGATTGATCAAATCAGCCACAGCTTGCGCTGCATGCGGCCGAGCACTTTCCTGCAAAATAATGCGTGGGTTCTGCAGAAAGTGTCGTCATTTATTTCTCAAAGCTGGTCACAGGTTGTGTTCCAAAAATGAACAGTAATACTGTGCGTTGACAGTCTGCTGTCAGGGAATGGTATGTGTTAGGATAACACCATCACAGTCGTACACGAGAATCACTGTAACTTTCACATTGCTGGCGTTCTGACAAACTTTTGATTTTTGTGGTGACCCATAATGATGCCATTTGTTCGATTGGCCTTTCATTTGTGGCTCGTACGATTTGGCCCATGTCTCATCCAGTGTAATGATACGGTGTAAGAAAGCCTCTCCTTTGCGCTCATAGCGCTCCAAGTGGTTACGAGCAGTGTCGTATTGTAGCCACTTCTGCATTTCTGTCAGATCATGCAGAACCCATCGCGATGCAATTTTTCTCATGCCCAGGCATTCCTTCAGAATGTGAAGCACAGTCGTATGTGCTAATCCTGTCTCTCAGGCCAGCTCATGAATCGTATGGCGTCGATCACTCTCCAGTAACGCTTAAAGCATACACTTCTTCACACACACTAGGACGGCCTGGCTGATGCACGGCTGCCACATTTTGGCGTCCATCATTGAAGGCTTTTACCCACCTTGCCACTGTTCTGTAAGGCAATGCAGATTCCCTGCAAGCCTCCTGAAGACCTTGATGATACTATCATGCTGTACAACCTCTGTCACATCCAATCTTTATCCAACTCCGTTGATCCTGTTTCAAACATCGTGACAACACTACATTAGACCGCCAGCTAACATGAGGCTCTCTTCTTCTCGTCACTGCACATGCGCGTGATGTGGGAAGGGAGAGTCCGTTTGCTCTGTGGTAAGGTAGGTATGTAACTAACGTGTGGTATAAGCAACATTATTTGGTTCCATTGCATGGTGTCTCTACAGCAGTGTTGCCACTATTAAAGTTCCAACCCTCATATGTGAACCCTGACAAATGAAATAGGAATAATTGATGCAACTAATACACATAAAGGATGATTCTGGAATTTTATTCCATATTATTCTTAAGTAAATCATAGTTTACTTTGAGAGGAATAAACTTTCAAAGTTAAATTACAGAAGCAGAATGTTACTAACTTATCATAGACCAGGCAGAGACTGATTAACTGGTGCTCTGAACGTTTTCATTCTTAACAGTCCTTTCAGTCAGAAGGTGATGGGATAAAGGATTTCACACACTGTATTTTATGGACGTTACACTTTTTTTTAAGTCGCTTAGCAGGGGGTGGAGTCCAACTGGTTCCACTTGGCACGGCGGCCACTGATTGGCTTATTGTAGCCTGCCCCGGGTGATTATGATGATGGAGAATTTGGTGGAATGAAGATTGACAGGGGAAACCGAAGTACTTGGGGAAAACCTGCCCCAGCGCTACTTTGTCCACCAGAAATCCCACTTGACCAGACCCGGGCCTGAACCCGGGCCACCGCAGTGGGAAGCCAGTGACTAACCGCTTGAGCTATGGCATGGCCGCATGTTACACCGTAGTATCAAACCATAATTTTTTCTGATTTTATTTTTTAATCTGGTCTCTCTCCCTAACAGAAAAACAAATTTTTGAGAGTAGGATACTGAGGAGAGTATTTTGATACAAAAGAAAGGAAACAGGATAACGGTCAGATTTACATAATGAGATTCATGATAAGGGCTGCTGTGAAGATAGTAAAATTCCTTTCGATTCAGGGAATTTCATAATCACCTGAGTGACATCAGCTTCTCAAGGAGGACTCTCTCCATGAAGTTAGTTAATATAAAATTATCCTTTTGCAGTATATTGGCGTAGTTGGAGCATACAACTTTTTCTCCAAGATTTTACACAGATATCACACTTTCTGTCTAAATGCTGGACATCCAAGAGTGATTGTTGCTTATAGTTTTAGCAGACCAAAACTGTTGTTGTTCTAATTTTGATATTAATTTAGAGCGAGATATATCACCATTGCTAGTCGCAAATCCTGTTCTGTAAGTTGGATTGTGTGGAAATGTAATCACACTCACTGGTAGTCTAACAACTGTATTCTCCATCATTATTTCATGGTAACACATGCATGAAAGCATAGTTTTTGTCTGTAGTTGAGCAGTATATCTACTTCTCCAGCCTGCTGCATGTGAAAATAAACACTGACTTGTATCCTATACAATGGATGCAGTTGATTACAAGTAAATTATTTGAGCTTTGTTGAATGAAGAAGTGTTCTTTTTGGCAGGGGATATTCATCAGTGATTGGGCAATGCACTGCTGGCCGGACAGAATATTTGCTGGTAGCCATTGTACTAGGGACACCTTTTTGGTAGCCTACTGATTGAGAACTCACGTGACAAACAGGATACCTACATTCATTAAAAGTTTTTCAAATGAGTTAAAAGAGCATATTTCTTTCCATTTGAATTTCACTTGGAGCTGTGATTATGTGCATAATTGTACTTAAAATATCTCGTAGCTTTATAGTTCTTAGTATGGGCAAAAATTCCAATTTCTGTGTAGTGTAGATCTCGATCATTTTTCTCGTACACAGTACAGGCTTTCCATGTTTTGTCAGATGTTCCATGAAATCAGTGTTTTGTATATTAACTTATTATTTATATTCATAGCTGTGTATCTGTACCTTAAAACTGATGTTTCAGTTGTCCATCGTGTTAAGTAAATCACATGCTGTGTATTGTTGCATAACCTTTCTTTATTTTGCTACAGCTCGAGTGTTTAGATCATCACCACAGTTTGGCGTGACCCTACTGACATACGAAATCCTTCAGAGGTTGTTCTTTATTGACTTTGGAGGAACGTAAGTATTATTTCATTACTTGAGGTTATATAGACATGTTTAGTAATTATATACAGTAGATATATTGATCTGCCTTGATGATTTATGAGCTTAGAGATATTAAATTCTACATTCTGCATCATTCAGAGATTTACCATGAAACCAAAAAAGTCCAAGACAGTCACAAGGAATTGGAACCGAATATTCTTACTTACTTACTTACTTACGTGTTATATTGGTATATAAGTATGGTTATTAGATGTTACTGTTCTGACTGACTAATGAACACCATGGATCTGCCATTGGCCTTGGAAGAAGTAAAATTATTGTTGATTCTCATACTGTGATACTGCTGTAAAATACTTGTCAAAGAGGGCATAATAAAGTTTCTTGATTTTGCTGAAATTTATATTTTTTGTGTTACATTCATATAGGACTTAACCTTGGCACTATTTATTTATATATATATAATAGTGCAGATGATACTGAAGTTCATTAGCTAATAATGATATGATGATGTGTGCTGGTTACAAAAACAATTTCTTGCCACTGAACAGTTATGCAAGCATGAAGAAGTTATGGTATATTGTTTCATTTTTTGAAGCATTTTGTTTACGAGTAGCAGAAACCATTGGAGTCATTGCTCATTTTCATATAAATGCTGTATAATTTGGGTGCTATCTGTGTGTTATGTGTGTGCATGTGTACATGCGTGTATGTTCATGCTTTCATTATACTGACTGTTGTTTCATAACATATCAGATTAGTTCTGCTTTTTAGCTGCAATATGTGAAAAAGAGAAGGATCAGAATTTGGTGCTTCTTTTTCTTTCTGCATTATCTTTTTATTTGTCAATCTTAAAGTATATTTTGATATTAATACATGTTTATAATTGTCAGAAATCAACCATGAATTTTCACTTTAAATTTACCAGTAGAGCAACAGGCATTTTCTCTCTCCAGGCACTTGTGTTTCAGCTGCAGGGAATCTTAAATTAGTTGAATTTGATTACCAATTATCGTTGGTGCTTTCTTGGTAGTGAGACTTCACGTTGTGATACAGTGTAACTTTGTACTAAGTTACACAGAGTTGCAACCCAGGAAGTTACAAATCTGAAATTGACCACCAGTTGGTTGGACATGGAAAGAATGAAGGTGTTTTGTTAAAATGAATAAGGGCTGAACAACTGATATTGAATAATCATTATACTAATTTATTTTGAGCTTGTTATGCTGAAGATAAGAGAAATGATACAGAGGATAGGTTTTATGATGAGCTAATTGAGTCAGTTCCCTACATACCACATGACAATTTTTTATTTGGAGATTTCATTAGAGAAACGGGAAAAAGATAATTTCAAACGAACACCTAGGAACAGCAGGTTCCATGAAATTTGTAGTGATAATGCTGTTAGAGTAGCAAATATACAGGGTGACACACAAAATGATCCAGCATTTGTTCTATTAATAAAATCTTCATTTCAATTACAATGCTAGAAACTAACATACACAAAGGATTACCATTGCATGGAGATTTATCCTCTGTGATTCATGTGTTCAGTGTGACCACCATTATGTCTGACAACTTCTTCAACATGAATTGTGATGTTGTTGATTACTCGGTGGGACATATCCTCAGTTATCTTGTTGCAGGCCTGAATGATTAATGCTCTCAATTCCATTATTAGTCCATTATAATTCTTTTTTAAGATGAATATGGTGGATACATTGTAATTGAAAACCAATTGACATTTTCTCTGTTGTCAGTAAGGCTGTGCACTGATTTGTGAAAAAGGCTGTGGATGATTTCAGGAGTAATGAGCATATAGTGTAATGCTTGGATGTGCAAGGTACTGAGCCCCTTCTTCTCTGATAAGGAATTGCATGTTTTCACTTTTATACTTAATTGTACAGAATGAGAGATTAAACTTACATTTCCTATTATGCTGAAAGTGGGATGTGTGATCCGGGGCTATGGTATTTATTTCCTATCAGTAGTTATTCTTACTAAACACTACCACAATTAGAAAATAGATCGTTCTAATTATGAAGGAAGTTTAATAGAATTTGCTGCAAGTTTCATTTAAGTTGGGCAGATGGTTTGGTGAATTCTTCACATCTGCAGTGGTCATATAACCATTTTCTGGTGATGTCTGTCCTGTATCATTATAATTGTCTATGCTTGTGCAATGGGGATAAATATTATTGATAACCGCTTTATTCACAATTGCATTAATTGGCATGGCTTACACTTGTCTATTGCAAGGTCTCGTGTTCTAATGTGAATATGCAAGAGACAGATGTTTTGGACTTACGTTTTTATTTATAATTTTGCAACCAGTGCATAAGATGATTGAATAAGAAATAAATTTCATCTGCTCACTTGACTCTTCAAATATTTCACCTATGAAACTGTTCTTGATGGACTACAGTGAAATTTGGTGTTTTATGTCAACTCTAAATGTTGCTGAAAAGAATTACATTTTCATCCAGTGAAATAATCTGTATTGTATATAAATCTTTCTCATAAAAATTATTAGATTGAAAAACAAAGGCTCATTGATCAAACTATAGTTATGTATTTCAAGATATACGTGGTATAGTCATTAAGTTCGCGGACTGTGGTTTTTTCGTATCATATTACAAGGTATTCACATACACTTACACAGATCCACATCAGCCCTCAAAATAGTTGTCATTGGCCGCTATGCAAGTCTGCCAACGTTGATATAGCTGCAGAAAACATTGCTGAAACATATTGGCAGGAGATTCCCATATGTCGTCTCTTGTGGCATTGACAGCCTCCTTGGATGACTGAAATCTACGACCATGTAGCTTTGCTTTCAAGCAGTGAAAGAGAAAGAAATCGCACAGTGCGAGATCACGTGAGTAAGGAGGGTGTGGCAAAGCAGTGACCTGTTGCCTTGCCAGTTCCTCTTGGACAAGAACAGAGTGATGTGCAGGGGCGTTGTCATTTAGCAACAGCCAATTGTTCATACACCAAACGTTTCGCTAAGGGATTTTCCCAATTTATGGCAGAACTTGATGTTTTCCCGTTGTTCAAACTGCCACATTTTTTATTTCTGCCACTTGTATTTAACTGCAATTCACAATAGAGTCTGTAGTTCTGCTTACACTGTTTGCACAAAACTGTCTCTTGCTGTGATGGGAGATGAACTAACAGGGCATCAGATCGCGCCTCAACCTATGCACTGTAGTGCACTGCAACGACACTTTGCAGACAGTCCACGAACTTATTGACTATGGTAGTAGATCTCATTAAGGTCTGTTCAGTATATCTTTTGCTGTTGTATATACCCTTAGTGAAACACAAGGAAAGTAATTTGTGTAGTGTAATTTGTACTATTGACTACTTTTGTCAGCAATAGAATATGTATCTCTGTACAGTGTAGTGGAAGTACTTCCAACAGTAGAGGTGTATATTTGCAGTAAATAAACAAGGGATGCAATTCAGATAGACTTAAATATTGATAATATGTCTTCCAAAGTGGAGTACCCCTTTCCAAACTTAAATATCAACCCATTATTGCTGTTTATACATATATAATCAAAACCAACCTAATATGTTTCTTCTTTTATATAAAACCCATTTGTCTCACCAGTTTCCTGTTTCTCCATATCTGATCTGGTTACTAGATAACCATAACTATTCTTTTATACTGAATAGAGCAATTTATGTCTATTGGTTTCTTCTTGTTGGTTTTAGTGTATAAAGCAATCTAGTCGACCACTGTTTTTCATAAATTTATTTACTGAAATGCAACGTGATTGCATTTAAACATTTAAAGCAGGTGTGAAAGGCAAATATAGCAGTTTCTGTTGTTTGTAACACTGTATTTAATGTACAGAAACTTTCCCTTTGCTAATGTGTTGTCTGTAAGAATACTGGTGTCCAGCATACATTTCTTACTTCATGTATGTTTTTGCCACTTTTGCATACTTGTGTTTGTGATTTCTAGTTCTAATTTTGATTGAATGCATGTTACATCTGTGGTAATATTTTGAAAGCGATCCATTTTGGTCATCTTGCAATTAAAAGAGATATTACTGTGTTTTAACACATTTCAAGGGGCACAGCCATTTTAATTTTACTGTGTTGTAGTGCATTAGAAGAAGCAAAAGATTAAGCTATTACTGCAGCACTCAATATAATATTCAATGTTTTTGATATTTAATTGCAGCATTAAGTAGATTTATGTTTTCTAACCAAGAAGTTGCATACAAATGTTGTTCCTCTCATTCACAAGGAAGCGCAATGATGAATTAGTTACAAAACTTTATCTTAAACTTTAGGCTGCATTCATTATGGATATGTATACATTTCAGGCGCCCATCTGGTTCTGAACTGAATGTCCCATCAACAGGTGTGGCTGAAGAGATGAAATCAACAAATCCAGACCACATTGGTGGCTATCAAGTGGCGCTACCTATTTTTGCTGGCATCGAATCAAAATTTGGACTGTGTTTACCAAAATTCCAGGTAGCATCATAAAGCAAGAAACAAATGACAACTTGTGAGGTGACACCCAAATACTGCCCATCTAAAAAACATTGGTTAATGGAAAGTGGCAAACCAGTAAGCTCACACTCAGGAAGTTGTATGCTCCACTGGTAAGTTACTGGAAATCTATTAAGACACAGTATCTAGAATTTATAAACCAAATGGAATGAACATGGCTAGATACTTTAATGATACATTCAGTAAATAAGCAGTTATTTTAAGGTTAAAAATGACAAAGTGGCTTCTCACATGATAGAGTAACTTTGCAGAACCAGAGTACAGGCTGTGTAGTATGGTGCTTTGAGGATCTAGTGTTATGGGAATTCCTTGTATCATTGTCCAGTTTACTCAGGTGGCACAAATAGACATGAAAAAGTATAAAGGCAAAGTAGTCTGATATTACATTTTATCGTATTGTTTCATTTTGTCATTAAACAGGAGAATGGATATTGTGTAGGTAGAAGATTATTGAATTAAGTTGTGTTGAAGCTGATATTTAACAAACCATGGCAAGAAGGCGGTGTCTACTTCTGTGCTTTTTACACAAGCCATCATGATTTTAGGGAACTTATTTTGCACTGCATCAGGTTTGAAGGTTTGTAGTTAATTTATTTCTTAGTGGATGTCAGAAGCTGACTACAACTGTCATTCGGTTTATTCATGGGGAATGTTGATGTGATCTGAAGCTTTGTGATGGGGGAATTCCCCATTCCTAATAGCATTAAAGCACTTCTGGAGCTTCTCTGTTGTGTATTTGTCTAATGGGAAGCTCCGAGCTTACACCGCTAAATATGTGAGAAGAACTGTGAGGCTGAAGTGAAACTCTCATTTAATATTCTTCAGTTTAAAAGTTCCCACAGTTAATGTTCAATTTCACTGATTCTAGATCAGTAATCTCAATGGTAAACTACCTCCATTTAAGATTTTCCAGGGGGTTATATTAAAATCTACTGCTTCCAAAAGAAATCTCAAATTTGGGTTACTCTGCAATTTGATCCACTGTCTAGAGTATGGAAGAGTAGCCCTGTACTTTTTAAAAACATAACCGTATACAGAAATTCTATTCAAAACGTGCAGAATGGATTATAAGTTAAAAAATATACACTTTTTTTTTAACTCAGTGCTGAAGTTTACATTGGAAACAAAAACAGAACAGCTCCAGATTCATACAACTTACCTCGTATTACAGATGTGATGAAAAAATCATTAATTCATGGAACATGTGCTGATGTGAATCATAAAATGGCAGGTCCATTCAGGTCTGCTCTCACTGTTGGTAAGATATGCTGTCAGATGATGTCAAAGTAGTGCCTGTTATATACTATGCTACTCGCCAGAGGTCTCTCAAACATTTTTTTGTTCTGGAGCAAAGTAAACCATACAGGAGCAAAGAAGCAAAGTCATGTGGTGCTATCGGTCATATCATGTTTTATTTATGTGAAGATTGAAAGGACATTAAAATCTGTGACATCTTAATTGTGTCATATGGTATTGTTGTACTTGGTAACCATTCATTTCTCATAGTAGCTTGTTATGATATGGTGGTGATCATGCTTCTCATCACACTTAACAGTTCATGACATGTTCAGCCTTGAAATGACTTACAGATTTGATTTGGCTTCTCCAGTAAATAGCATTTGTTTTCCTAGTCAGTCTTAACTGACTGATCATGGTACCAAGTTTACAATTTCTTGTCACAGAGGTGAGTTCAGTGAGCGAACATAGTTTAAATGAGCATTTTATTTTACTGTTTACTTTATCCTGTTGAGAAATCTAATGTTGAATTTGATGCAGTTGGGTGTGGCATTAAATTTGTTTAACAGTTGCTGGAATAAGATACACAAGAACACAAAAATCACAGAAGTTCTTAGTCATGGGGAAGATTGAGAAGGGAGAGTTGCAGTCAGCTAAAATGGAAAATCAATGCAAATGTAACTGAAATATAAAATCGGGGTTTATTTATTTTTTTTTGGTTTTTTTGGGGGGGGAGGGGGGGGCAGACACCTGGTAGCATAGTTGGTTGAGGGGCTATGCTACAAGAAAGAAGGTCACATTTCTTATCAAGTTTATCTTAGATTATGAGATAAAAATATTAAATATATCATTTTCTTTATTAATATCTCTGATGTTGCCAAAAATATTTCTCAGTTTAGTGAGTTTCAATGCAGCTTGCATCCTCCTTCCCTTTTGCTACGAAGTTTTGTGACATTCATGTGACATGAACTGAATTGCAAAGTTTGGTTTGTGAGAGGAAGCAGTGACTGAAGTCAGCTGAATTTTCTCTTTGGATGGTTCAGTGTTTCAACTTGGTGGACAGTCTTGTTGCAAAGTAGAATAAAGATAGCTTGTAGAATATTATACAGTCAACTCTCGATTATCCGGGGGCGGATTAACCGGTTTGCGGCTTAACCGGGGCTTTTTTTTTTAAGTTTATATGTTGTTTAATATTCATTCACTTTTGTTTCACATGGTGAGTTTAACACTATTTTCGCACTAGTGTGAACCGAGCTCTGCATTATTTCGTCCCGTTATGCGAACACAATGTTCTAGGGTGGGGGTGAAAGAATGCAAGAATTTTTGGAAAGTTTCAAGGACAAATACACCGCCCCAGGTTATTTAACGGTACCATCTCAGTGTGAGAGTGCATTGTGAAAGTAAGTATCAGTTTCTTAATATAGATCTTCAAGTGCGTTAGCAAAATGTCGGGGTTTAAAAGGAAGCGTGTTGTGTTAAGTATTCAACAGAAACTTGAAATTATCAATCAGCTGGAAAAAGGAGCTGTAGTTAAACAATTAGCAATGCAATACGGTATTGGAGAACAAACTGTTCGTGATTTGAAAAAACAAAAGAATGAGTTAATTTCCTTTGCTTCGTCTTCTAATTCAAGCGGAATGAAGAAGAGAAAAACCATGAAGAAATCAACATACGATGATCTCGACAAAGCGATGCTGACCTGGTTTAATCAACTAAGGGCACAGGGAACAACAATAACAGGACCAGTTTGTGCTAAACAAGCTAAATATTTTTTCGAAGCACTTGAACTAGAAGGGAGTTTTGACGCTTCTTCCGGTTGGCTAACACGTTTCAAGCAGCGTCATGGAATACGAGAAATCAGTATTCAAGGTGAGAAATTGTCAGGGGACTTGTCAGCATCAGATCAATTTTGCACCAATTTTGATAGTTTTGTGAAAAGTGAAAATCTGCTGCCAGAACAAATCTATAATGCCGATGAAACGGGTCTTTATTGGAAATGCTTGCCAACCAGAACATTGGCATTTCAAAATGAAAGACAGGCTCCAGGTCACAAATCCAGTAAGGAGAGATTGACAGTCTTGTGCTGTTCTAATGCATCAGGAACACACAAACTAATACCAGTAGTTATCGGCAAAGCGAAAAGACCACGCTCTTTTAAAGGAACAGTAGCTTCAAGTCTGCCTATCCATTATTTTAACCAGAAAGTAGCTTGGATGAATAGAGCGATATTTAAAGAATGGTTTGATTTTAAATTCGTGCCTCAAGTTCGTGACCATCTAAAATCCCAAGGCCTACCTGAGAAAGCTGTGCTCCTCATTGACAATGCGCCCTCACATCCTAACGAAAGTCTCCTGAGGTCAGATGATGGAAATATTTTTGTGAAATATTTTCCCGCTAATGTTACCGCACTTATCCAACCAATGGATCAAGGAGTTATCTCAAGTATGAAGAGAATCTACAGATCAAATTTGCTACAAAAGTACATCGATGAAGGCAATGATCTGACGTGTTTCTGGAAGTCCTTTTCAGTATTAGATGCCATATACGAGATTTCAACAGCGTGGGATACAGTAAAGCCATCTGTATTGAAAAATTCATGGAAGAAACTGATGCCTTTCATCACTAATGAAGATGACGAAATCCATGGATTCACTGGATTCAGTGAAAATGAGATAGCCATAAAATTGACAAAAGTGGCTAACCAAGTTCATGGTGGTGAAGAAGTCAACGAGGAAAATATAAGAGAGTGGTTTAACTGTGACTCGTGTGAACCGGGCTTCGAAATGTTAAGCAGTGACGAAATCGTAACTTCAATGGGGGTGCAGCCAGAAGAGCGGGAAGAAAGTGAGAATGAGGAAGAGGTGGACAGTGTTGCCAGTAAGAAAGTATCACATGGTGCTGCGCTTAATCATTTGGAATCCTTACTAGACTATCTTGAGAGTGAAGAGGACAGTTTATTAAGTGACAAGCTAATATTACGTAGGCTTCGTACGGATATCCGTAAAAAGGAAAATGCCGCGAAAAAGCAAAAGACAGTATTAAATTATTTTAAGTGTTAAGTGTGACCGTAAAAAGTGCTGGATGTTGTTGAACAGTGATTGAAATAACTAATTCATACTGAGTGTAATGTAAAGAAAGTATTAAATAGGCCATGAGATGACATAGAAATGAGGATGAATAAATTTAAATACAGGTAGGTCTATAGTATTATGAAGGTATTAAAAGGTAAAAGGTAAAGTTGTTCCTCTGCTCAACGAATTAAGCCCTACGCCATTAAGGCGTGTGGGGGAGTGGATGTATAGATCCAAATTTTCTTGACCTCGGCACTAGTTGGAGGTGAGTGGTCAGCTTCACGCCCCGGCCGCTTTACCCCCGGGGAAAGAGCCCCCGGTACCCATTGGATAGGAGGTTGGATGGACCCCAGAGCCGGTCTGGACGATTTGGAGAAGTTAAAATTCTTGACCCTACCGGGACTCGAACTCCGACCCTTCACAGTCGTCCAGCCCGTATAATAAAATTTGGCTTAACCGGGTTTTCGATTAACCGTGACTTCCATCCCCACCATTAGCCCGGATAATCGAGAGTTGACTGTATTCTGTTTTGCAGATTGCTGTGTGTGAAAGACATGTGAATTGAAAATTTAATGTTGAGTGCAGTTTTCCAACACCATTCAGACTGATGTGCATTATATGTTACAACAGTCTTTTGAGGGGACGGGGGGAGGGATTTCAAAACTGAGTTATTGTAATAAGATTACAATCACTGTTTCAAGGTGACCTACAAAGTGAAGTTTAGACCTTTAAAGTAAGGTAAGGTAAAGTAAAGTTATCCCTGTGCTTAACTAATTAAACACTACGCCATGAAGGTGTATGAGGGAGTGAATGTATAGATCCACGTTTATTTGACCTCAGCCCTAGTTGGAGGTCAGTCGTCAGCTTCATGCCCCAGCAGCTTTACCTCTAGGGAAAGAATCCCCAGTACCCATTGGATAGGAGGCTTGGTAGGCCCCAGAGCTGATCTGGATGATGTGGAGAACAGAAAAATCTGAACCATACCAGGATTTGAACTCCGTTGTCCAGCCAGTAGCCAGTCACTGTCTCGGCCACAGATGGATCAAGTATGATGGAAAATTAATCAAACCTTAATGCTAGAAACTTCAAGAATGTGCGAAGTAGATTGCATGAAAGTCTTGTACTAGACTGAATGAAGTTTTATTAATCATGACAGCACGATGCGTTAGTTGCAGATCATTATTCTGGAAGGATAAAAGAGAGAGACTGCCATAGTAGTGTGTTATGCTTGTGCTTGTGAGTGTTGGATGTCATAACAGGGTTGGTATTGTTAGGTCCAGTGCATCATGATTGGAATCTTACAACTGCATATTCATTGTCATCATTTCCTTTGCCCCATAGCCTTCATTAGAAGATTTGCCAGATTTGATTCTTTTTTCATTTTGTTGGGTTTTGCAACAGAATTTTTTTTACAGCACAAGGTCATCAGCCTTGTGCCCAACCCTCAACCTGGAGGACCAAGTACCTGTATTTATGTCACCTTTTACGACTCACAGGGTTATGGTGGAGGTATTCGAACCCATCTCTACATGTTGATGTATGTGCATATTATGATTGAAAATACTCAGAATGATATAAGTTCTTTTGGACTTCTTTCAGTTGGAAGGACTGAATTTCAGAGGTCAAATATTGAGCTTCAACTAATATTGCAGTAAATAGAAGGCTTAAGGGATTATTTTATGAACTTCAGTAATATGTAATCTGTCATGTTATTAATTCGTTTTGTAGTTGAAGACAGTAATTAATATTTTGTATCACATTTGAGATTTTTGTGATGGTGAGTATCAAGATTACAATTTTCTGAGGTGTGATACCATATAGTTCTCTAGGTAGGTACCAGTGTTTCAGAGGAATGTATGTCCTCCCCATCTGTATTCTGAATATGGAGGGGACAAGCTGTCTGAGCTTTGTGGTACTTGTTTATCAAATGGTGTTGCATCTTGGTTCTTAGAGCATGTTCCTCCATGAGTTGGTATATATCAGTCTGTATAGCGACTAGTTACAGGCTTGATGGCCACGCCATAGCTCAAGTGGTTAGTCACTGGCTTCCTACTGTGGCGGCCCGGGTTCGATCCCGGGTCTGGTCAAGTGGGATTTGTGGTGGACAAAGTTGCACTGGGGCAGGTTTTCTCCAAGTACTTCGGTTTCTCCTGCCAATCTTCGTTCCACCAATTGCTCCACAGTCACCCTCACCTATCATCTGGGGCTGGTACAATAGGCCAGAAGTGGCTGCAGTACAAGGGACTTAGTCCCACCCCACTAACATTAAAAAAAAAAATTACAGGCTTGATGGGCAGGGGATTCAATTCACAGCAGGGACAGGGATTTCCCTTCATGTCATCACATCTATCTCTGGGTATACACAACCTCCTATGCA